GGCTTTGTTTGACTCCGTGTAGCGACAACAAGAGAAACAAAACTACCTATTTGTAACGGACGTGCTGCCATTGCCCTCCGCATTGAGCGCCTACCTATTGAAATCTTTACGTCGGGACAATGGGAGAGCGGCTAAAATTACCCTCTTGGGTCCTGGGCAGGCAAGATTCCTGAGCCCCTACCCCCGCCCCCATCTCAGCCTCCTCTAACCCGGGCCTCGCCGGGCTCCCCGCGCCCCAGTGCCGGCCGCCTGCTCCCTGCGTGCCCTGCCTGCACCTGTGCCTGGAGAGCTTGGACCCCGCCTCCCAGGCCTGGAGCCCCTCAGCGGCCACCACGGTGGAAACCCACGAGGGAAATGCCAGGGCTGGTTCTGCTGGCGCCCAGGGAACCCTGCGTGGGAGGGAGTTTGTGACTGGGGCCCAAATGCCACCTCCGCACAGTGCCGTGGGATGCCAGGAAGTTGAAGTTACCCTCCCCCATCCTGCACTTTGGAGCGCCCTTCCGTTTGTCTCTCTCTCTTTCCCCAGCCCCCATTTGAAACCCGCACGACTGAAACCCCTCTTTGGGGGAGGCCTGGGGTGGGAATGGGGAACGGGGGGGAGAGCGTAGGAGCATCCCCTTTGCTCCGGTTGACTGGAGACAGGCCAGTGGGAGTTGGGGCTGGGAGTAAGAAGGCGAGCTGCGGTTTCCTGGGCCAGAGCTGAGTGGGACAGAGAGATGGCAGCTTCCCAAGGCCTGCGGGTTCCCAGCTCTGGAGTCGGCCTCGTGGTCCGACCAGGATTGATGTTTAAGAACAGAGCACGTTAGGTGGAAGCAAGGAAGGCTTTGAGGACCGAGGTTCGAGTCTCCTAACTTCTAGTGGAGACCCTGTCTGAAGGGCGTGCGGGAACGCCGGCACCTGCGGGGGAAGAGGGGAGAGGAAGCGCGCGGCGTGGGAGCCGCAGAGGGGCAGGAGCTGGGGGCACTGCGCGAATGGGCGGCGGGACAATGACACACCCAGCCTTGCACTGGCGGTTTCCAGAAACACGAGCTGGACCGTCGCCCCGAGCCACCCACTGAGCCCTGCCCCACCCCCGCACCTTAGCTGCCCCCCGCGTCCCATCCTCACTTCAGCACCCTGCACCAAAAAGTAAATCAGTGTTAAGTTTAAAAAAGAAAAAACCCACGTAGTCTTGGTGCTGTTTACCCACTTCCTTCGAAAAGGCGTGTGGCGTGACCTGTTGCTGCGAGGGGGATACAAAGGTTTCTCAGTGGCTGGCAGGCCGGCCCGGAGCCGCCTCCCTCCCCGCCGCCCCTCCCATCCCCTCCCCTCCCCCTCTCCCCTCCCCCGCCCCCGCCCCCGCCCCCGCGCCGGCGGCCCGCGAGGCCCCGCCCCCTTTCATGCAAAACCCGGCGGCGAGGCCGGGCCCGAGTGGAGGAGCCGCCGCGCGCTGATTGGTCGCGGGAAACCCATTTATTCCCTGACAGCCCCCGTCACATGGACGGTTGTCTATTAACTTGTTCAAAAAAGTATCAGGAGTTGTCAAGGCAGAGAAGAGAGTGTTTGCAAAAGGGGGAAAGTAGTTTGCTGCCTCTTTAAGACGGGGACGGAGAGAAAGAAGAGGAGAAAGAAAGGAGAGAAGTTTGAGCCCCGGGCTTAAGCCTTTCCAAAAAATAACCATAACAATCCTCGGCGGCGGCGGCTCCGGCCGGAGGAGGAGGGAACGCGCGGTTTTTTTTTTTTTTTTTTTTTGATCCTGATTCCAGCCTCTGCCTCTCTCGCTTTTTTGCCCCCAAATTGTTCCTCGCCTGATTCTCCTTGCGGAGTCCCGCGCTCCCGGCACCCCCGCCCGCCTCCCCTCCTCCGCCCCCCCGCCCGCGGGCCCCCCAAAGTCCCGGCCGGGCCGAGGAGGGTCGGCGGCCGCCGGCGGGCCGGGCCCGCGCACAGCGCCCGCATGTACAACATGATGGAGACGGAGCTGAAGCCGCCGGGCCCGCAGCAGACTTCGGGGGGCGGCGGCGGCAACCCCACCGCGGCGGCGGCGGCGGCGGGCGGCAACCAGAAGAACAGCCCCGACCGCGTCAAGCGGCCCATGAACGCCTTCATGGTGTGGTCCCGGGGGCAGCGGCGCAAGATGGCCCAGGAGAACCCCAAGATGCACAACTCGGAGATCAGCAAGCGCCTGGGCGCCGAGTGGAAGCTGCTGTCCGAGACGGAGAAGCGGCCGTTCATCGACGAGGCCAAGCGGCTGCGCGCGCTGCACATGAAGGAGCACCCGGATTACAAGTACCGGCCCCGGCGGAAAACCAAGACGCTCATGAAGAAGGATAAGTACACGCTGCCCGGCGGGCTGCTGGCGCCCGGCGGCAACGGCATGGCCGGCGGGGTCGGGGTGGGCGCCGGCCTGGGCGCGGGCGTGAACCAGCGCATGGACAGCTACGCGCACATGAACGGCTGGAGCAACGGCAGCTACAGCATGATGCAGGAGCAGCTGGGCTACCCGCAGCACCCGGGCCTCAACGCGCACGGCGCGGCGCAGATGCAGCCCATGCACCGCTACGACGTGAGCGCGCTGCAGTACAACTCCATGACCAGCTCGCAGACCTACATGAACGGCTCGCCCACCTACAGCATGTCCTACTCGCAGCAGGGCACGCCCGGCATGGCGCTGGGCTCCATGGGCTCGGTGGTCAAGTCGGAGGCGAGCTCCAGCCCGCCGGTGGTGACCTCTTCCTCGCACTCCAGGGCGCCCTGCCAGGCCGGGGACCTCCGGGACATGATCAGCATGTACCTCCCCGGCGCGGAGGTGCCGGAGCCCGCCGCGCCCAGCAGACTGCACATGTCCCAGCACTACCAGAGCGGCCCGGTGCCCGGCACGGCCATCAACGGCACACTGCCGCTCTCGCACATGTGAGGGCCGGACCGCGAACTGGACGGGGGAGGCATTCTCCGACAAGAGCGAGGGGAATCAGTGGGAGGGGTGCAGAGAGGAGAGTCGGAAACTGCGTGGAGAAAGCCCGGTATGCTCGAAAAGAAAAAGGAAAAAAAAGAAGAGTCTCATCACCCACAGCAAATGACAGCTGCGAAAGAGAACACCGATCCCATCCACACTCACTCAAAAACCGCGATGCCGACAAGAAAACTTTTATGAGAGAGATCCTGGACTTCTTTTTGGGGACTTATTTTTGTACAGAGAAAACCAGGGGGGAGGGGTGGGGAGGGCGGGGGAATGGACCTTGTATAGATCTGGAGGAAAGAAAGCTACGAAAAACTTTTAAAAAGTTCTAGTGGTACGGGAGGAGCTTTGCAGGAAGTTTGCAAAAGTCTTTACCAATAATATTTAGAGCTAGTCTCCAAGCGACGAAAAAAATGTTTTAATATTTGCAAGCAACTTTTGTACAGTATTTATCGAGATAAACATGGCAATCAAAATGTCCATTGTTTATAAGCTGAGAATTTGCCAATATTTTTCAAGGAGAGGCTTCTTGTTGAATTTTGATTCTGCAGCTGAAATTTAGGACAGTTGCAAACGTGGAGAGAAGAAAACTATTAAAATTTGGACATTTGAATTAAAAATTGTACAAAAGGAAAAAAATTAGAATAAGTACTGGCAAACCATCTCTGTGGTCTTGTTTAAAAGGGCAAAAGTTTTAGATTGTACTAAATTTTATAACTTACTATTAAAAGCAAAAATGGCCATGCAGGTTGACATCGTTGGTAATTTATAATAGCTTTTGTTCAATCCCAACTTTCCATTTTGTTCAGATAAAAAAGAAACATGAAATTACTGTGTTTGAAATATTTTCTTATGGTTTGTAATATTTCTGTAAATTTATTGTGATATTTTAAGGTTTTCCCCCTTTATTTTCCGTAGCTGTATTTTAAAAAGATTCGGCTCTGTATTATTTGAATCAGTCTGCCGAGAATCCATGTATATATTTGAACTAATACCATCCTTATAACAGGTACATTTTCAACTTAAGTTTTTACTCCATTATGCACAGTTTGAGATAAATAAATTTTTGAAATATGGACACTGAAATTATTCTTGAGTCTTTCATTTATTTGGTTAACACTGTGATTATACATAACTTCTCGGGGAATTATCTTACTGTGCTCAGCCGACAAAGCAAAAGACCAAAAATCCTCGGTATTACTAGTCCAGCGTCGTGTGCTAATGTTAACTGCGAAAAGGAAACGGCTGGATGAATAATAAGTACTGGAAAAATTGGAAATTTTGTCATTTCTAAAATAGAAACTAGAGACATATATTGTAAATCCGCCCCCTCCTTTTCTAAGCAGCATGAATAAGCATGATGGGGACTTAAACTGAAAACTGATTTATGCCACTTGTTGCCAGAAAGGATCCAATTCTGAAATTTTTCATGTAGTTTAGCAGATGGGGTATTGAGCCAAATCAGAACCAGGTTGGCTGGTTTTGTTTTCATTTTCTTCACAGCACAATGGCCCTTTGAAACCTGTCTATAGGGAAAAATGATGCTTCTTGTATCAGAATAATTGCAAACTAGACATGCAAAGTGCTCATCTGCTGGGTGGGTGTTTGGATTACTCTGGCCCTGCTATTGTCTGGGAGGAAACAAGTGGTATGCTTTCTTTGTTCCTTGACTTCATAAACTTTCTCCTCTACATTTTCCTGTTCGGGGGCGAGGGAAGGAAAAGAACATCTTGCAAAACCCCCCGGCTTATCATCAACATAGTTTTATTATTTATTTTCTTTTTTCCCTCTCTCTCCCTCCCTCCCTGAATTCCATTTCTTAAATTGGCAGCGCGGGTCCAAGCCTGTAGCCCCAAATCGGATAATCTCTACAGCTGATAACAAGCAAAAGAGAAGCCAGGCAACAGCCATATTAAAGAAGAAAACAGTCAACTCTGAGGTAGATATTTTACTTTGTCCTGTCTAATCACATTTCGAGATGATTATGCGTTTGATCTGTTAACAATGTTTTACTACAGTAGTGGAGACGTGGGGGAGGGGAAAGGGGTGGGGAAACACGATTGGATTTGGGGTGTGTGTGTGTGTGTGTGTGTGTGTTGCCCTAGGAAGGGTAAAGAAAGGCTATAGTTGTCCTCAGTGGGAGTGGAAAAGTTGGGCCATCGCCGCGGCCTTTGATTTAGCGATGCTTCTGCTTCACAACCCACCCTTGCTCTGGGGCAGCCGGATGATGTTACCTAGTCAGGGACTTTTCTACTTTATTTACTACTGGCTTCGCTCATCTTCCCCCCACCCACGGGGACCAGGAACCAACAGTCGGGCACTCTTAAGAGCACGGGTTTGCTTCCCACAATTTCAAGAGCTTGTCGCGTCAACTTGCTACAACTTTGGCGGAGTTGGAATGCGGCAGAGTCTCCCACCCTTGAGTAGAGTACCTGCTGCAGCCACCACGTTGGTTCGTCCCCTTGGCTTGCATTTTCTCGTTTCCAAGAAAGTATTCCTTTCTCGTGGTGTTGCCAATGTTAGTTCTGGGCTGAAGTGGGGATATCTCATATTTTCTGTACTTTCTATTTTTTCTAGATTGCTATGTTTTGGATATGTACTGTTTTTTATTTATTACTTTTTTAACCCTCATTTTTAGGGTAACCTTGTACTGGGAAGGGACAATTATTATTCCAGGTCCTAATTCTAAGCTAGGCATTTCCCCCCCTTAATTAATGCAGAGACTCTAAAAGAATTTCCCCCGGCCTGGCCAGCCATTGTAATGCATATACGGATTATTCACGTGGTAATGAGCACATTCGCCAGTTCTTGCTCACACATACGAATAAAAGAAACTTTGAATAAAGATCCAAATGATCATGCTGGGGGAGTGGGGAGGATATTCCCGGAATTTGAGGCAGTCAACTATATAGATTATATATTTTTTAGATAGAAATATATTAGAAATATGTATAGAGGTTTAGAGTAATTGCACTGCACTCAACTCTCATTAAAAAAAAAAAAAAAAAAAAACACCCACAGGGTCGGGCTAAAAAGCAACTTTCTGGCAAAATGCTCAGGTTCAAATATTTTGCAAAAGGAAAAGGAGCACAATATTGTGGGAAGTAGAACTAGCTTTGCTAATAATTGTCACTGTCTGCATAAAACAAGAGAACTCCCGTTCCCCTCCTATTCCATACCAAATAGTTGAAAAATGAAAGTCAAAATATTTTGTTTGCAAATATAAATGCTTTTGATAAACTACATCTGAGGGAAATGATACATATCTTGTGCCATCATTCGTGTGATTGAATTAAATGGTTCCCTGAGATATGTAATTTCATGGCTAGATTAATATTGAGCATATAATATTTTAATAATAATGTGATGTTCGAGGAGAGTAAACCCATAAATGTGCCCAGAGATGGTTATGTCATGGTGCTGGACACAGTTGCTGAGTGTTTAGTTTTTGTTTTGGTTTGGGGTTACTATTCTGCTCAATGAAAGCACTCAATTTCCAGTCAAACAGGGTGAGTTTAAATGTTTTGTTAACCTTATACACAGAATAGAAATGTGCAAAAGGGTGAGATTACAGTCTGTTCTTTCTGCATTTTTTTTTCTCTCCCCAAACCACCTGCCCCCCTTCCCCGAATACTTTAAATAAAGAGCGTTAAAATATTTTTGCTGAGCTGTAGTAGATTAGCAAGGTTTCTTGCCAATGCTGGGAAGCTGGTATTACAGACCATCCCAGGGGAAAATGGCTCACATTAGCCACTAAATGAATATTTGACAAGGGCTCATTCGGAGGTATTATTACTATAAACGTGTCCCTACTGGACTTTTCAAGGGTCAAAGAGCAACGCTTCAATTAATTATTTAGACTGCTAGTAGATTTGGTCGTAATAGCTGTACTTATTTCTAGAAATTGACACATTCTTACAGTAGGAAAATCTCAGGAGAATCTTCTCTCCATCAGCAACACCTTGGATTGAAATACACATGGAACCCTGGCATTCTAAAGCTGACTTTTTATAGAACCTTTTCTTGGGCTGGTGGGGGGTGGGGGCCACAGAATTATAGTCTCCTTTTCTATTTCACTGACTGTTTTTTGTTTAAAAGAAAAAAAAAACAACATAATAATTCATCTTAATATCCACTTCATGTCTGGCAAGGTATTTTAGGGATTTGCAATATGGGGCAAAAGAGGAGGGTGTTCATGTACAGCCTCCGCCTTTTCTAAGTGGAAATGTCACAGGGACTCAGAGACCCAGGCAGGCCCTGAATTTAGACAGAATACACATTCCTGTTTGCCAATAAAATGCAAGTTTGAAAGTGGAAGTTTCCATGAGCTGAGTTCTCTAGGTTCTAGTCGTCTCAGAGTAAATTGGGGTACAAGGTAATCCCTCCTTCTCTTCCTACCTATTGGTCTGAACACTGCAAGGTGCAGTGGGGGGGGGGGGGCAGGCTTCCATTTCTGCCATGTCACAAGTTCCTCCGTGGCCCTAGGTAGAATGGTAAGGGAATGATTTTGAGGGTAAGACTCCTTGACAATAATATAAATTGAATGAATAAGAGATAAGCTGCGAGGGGGGGTGGGAAGAGTAATTACAAACCCAATTCATTCAGCTTTTCAGAACTTTTGTGGTGGGAGCTCCATTGACGGGTTTTGAGCTGCCAGTTTTCTCACATTAAAAAGAACCGATCAGCGCCTCAGGGGGACAAGAAATACCGCTTAACTGCATGGTGATGGGGTCTTCATTTAGAACCATTACAAGACGAAAATTAAACAGTGCCTTTGTGTGCGAGAGGTTTACTTTTCAGCTGCTAACAGTTGATAGCTAACTGCTCTGAGATTGAAGTTTCACTATGGTTTGATCGCCTGCTGATTGACACTGCTTATTTATTTATTTATTTATTTATCTCTCTGTTATAATTAAGATAACTTTTCATCACCCCCAACCCCGTTGTATTTCTTGCTCTTGGAGAATTTTGAAAAACAGATCCTCATAGTTTTCTTTGTGGAAGGTTTCCTTTGCCCTGAGCTTTAGCAGAGACTTCAGTTCACAACCCCCAGGGAACAACCCCTCACCCACATTATTGCCTTAAAATAATTTGCATCTCATTCTATTTTTTTTTTTTCTGCTGCATTTTCTCACTCTGGAAGCTAAGGCTGCTTTGCGGGCCGCAAGATAGGGGTTAATTTATTACTTTGCTTTCTTTTTTTGGAAAAAGAAAAAAATTGGAAGAGGGCTGGGTGGATTTCCCTAAGGACTTCGCCTATGAGGTGCATCCCTTAAAGAAGGAAGAAGGGGGAGAAACGCTGAACTTTTCTGGGAAAATATGGATGAAGTCCAAATGGACATAGCTTCCAGAGTTCTAGAGTGAGAAAAGCTGTGGAAGAAGCTTTCTAAAGACAGGAAAGTTGCCCAAACCAGAGAATTAGTTTAGTGTCTTTCATGGTTATTTTCTATTAAAGCTTTCCTGGAAACCTGACATCTGTTACCACCAAGGGAGTCTAGTAACTTCCTGTCTCCCTGCTAGCAGCACTGTCCAGTTTCATGATTCTTATTTTCAGTTTGTCTGTTTTGCTTCTGTGGCCTTTAGAAAATAATGGACTTTACATTTTTATTTTGACTAAGGGGATTTCTCTTTGGAAGAAGGGTGGAGTCTGAAGATAAGTCTAAGATTCTTGTCTCTATTCTGATTCCAGATGGATTTTATTTTATACTTTGGTATAAAGGTGCTATTTCTGATTCCCTGAGCGCTGTGCTCAGTTTCTCTCCTAAAGCAAATAGAATTTCCTCTCATTTCGGAATGCAAAGATATTTGCTGCACCTAAGCGTTTGAACTTGAGATGCTTGTTCTACTTTGCAAAGAAGTGTCAGGTGATTGGAAAGCTGGAGGTGCCCTTCGTTTTATTACCCTGGTCTGCCTGAGTGTACAGAAGGAAGAGTGCACTGTTTTCTGTAGAGCTCGGCGCTTTGAACTCTCATTTGCCTCCCTCTCCCAGCTTCGGTCCGGGGCTCGGCCCCGGGCTGTGAGCGCGCCGGCTGCCCTGGGGAGCGCCGGGTGCCCAGTACCGGGAGCCGACGCGCGGGCAAATCGAGGCGGAGCTGACCAGCTCCGCGGCCCGGGTCACGGCACCCACGGGGCGCCCCAAGCAGGTGCTGTGTGGGGCTACAGTTCTCTCCGGCCCGGCTCTGCCCGAACGGCCGCATTCCCTCCCTCTCAAACAGGGACCCGCGTCAGACAAGTCTAGAAAGTCTCCCGAGGCGTTGGGGCCCTCGCCACTGCGGAGGTCTCTGCCTCCTGCGCCCCAGCCCACGCCCTCTCCATGCTGACCTCGTGACGCGGGAGATGGTGTCTGGGCCCCAGATTCCCACGCACATCAGAGATTGTCTACACAAGGGGCTCTTTGTCCCTGTTTGTGGCCAACTCTCAGTATGAGTGATCTCACGTGGTTCTTCCCGGTTAGAGGCCGAGGACTGGCAGGGCTGGGGGAAGCCACAGGAGCAATCTGGGATCCCGGGAATATTGGGCCCCTCTGGATTAGAGCGGGTAGGGATGGGGAGCTACAGACCCTTCACTTTCCCGTTTGTGAGACAGGAATAATATCCAGTTACCTGGAAGAGGGTGACTACAAAGTGCCTGACAAAATAGGCTTAATTGATACGTATGACTTTTCTTACTGTCCAGCCGAATTAGGGAAGGGACGCAGTTCTCACGTTAGACTACAGAGAACAGACGGAAACCCAGGTCCTTTCTCTCCTTCCTGGCTCTGGGTAGTGAAATTGGCCTTGTTCACACTACCCCGCTTACTTCCCAGTGCTCTGGCTTCAGGTTTGCCAAGGAAGTTATCTTGCAAACTTGCCATCCCTGGGCACCGTCCTGAAGGAGGGATCCTGGCATTCCAGGCAGGAGCCACCCCCACCCGCAAAAGGCAGAAAAATAATTACTGTATTAAATAAGTCGCGGTGAATTCTTCCCGAGGGTTCTTATCGCTGGCGGCCAGGCCAGAAGCGGGACTGCTCCCCCACCCCCACCTCGTGACGTCAGGGCTGCGGGGCCCCGGGGATGAAATGATTCGTTCCAGAAAGGGCGATCCGAACGCACACAGGGCGAGGCCAGAGCAGCCGGGCTCCATCACCACGACAGAGCCCCTGCCAGCCCCCCAACCCAGAACGTAACCACATATACAAGTAGCCATAATCATCAGTACGTGGACAGTCACCCGCACGACCCTCGTCATGGGAGCGCCCTTCTTCCCAATATGTAGAAGTGATCTGGTTTATCAGCCAAAATTTGTTGCAGGATGTGAATGAGTGTTTTCTGTTGTGTTCATATGATTTTGTTTTTAGATGGTCGACAAATTTCAACAAAAGCCTTGAGGAGTACACCATAGCTTTATTTAACCGGGTGCAAGTTTCTGCGGCGATTTAAGAAATGGACTTAGAAGACTTTTCTGCCTCTCCTGTCCAGCCACAGCTAGGACAGTTGCTCCTGGCTTACCACTGCTGCACCAGTTCTATTTTCTTTGCCTTCCATTCCCAATGATTTAAATCGCCTTTAATAATCTTTTTAGAGTCATGTATTGCTGAGATAATTTCTTTGAACTGTGATTTAAATTGTAGATAAGAGGAAAGATACTTGCTCAGTGGAATGTGTGTAAGTGGAATAAAATTATTTGTGAGAGAAAAGCACCTGGGCATTTCTGGGAGACGCACTTCGCAAGTTTTCTTTCCAACTCTCACATCAATTTGATTTATTGAATGCCCTTCCAATGGAAAGGATCCTGGAAAATAGGCCTTAAGTTCTGATATTGGTCCAGGATCTCACAGAGTAATGATTTAGTGAGAATTAGCCAATATTTTGCATGCAGTCAGTTTAGTATCAGCTCACATCCAGGTCGATTTTATCTCGCTTAACAGCTCAAATCTGGGTTATTGCATAACATTACAGTTTAATCGGTCTGGAATACTAACTGGCAAACCTGTCTTCTCCTTCTCAAGGTCCTCTATTTCCCCTTCCTCCCACCTCCAAGGAAACTATCTTAAAATCAAGTTTCCCTTTGAGAGTTTGTTTACCCCAACTTCTGTTAAACTAGACTAACACTCTCTCATCAGCTTTGTGAAATGGTGCAAAAACATCTTGGAATCCAAGATGGCAAAATAAACTTGAGCATATGGGGGAAGACTGCCTTGTTAAGAAACTGATTTAAATGTTTAGCTTACACTTCAGCCTCAATGCTTCCCTTACTGCCCACTCTTACTTCCCTCACTGCCCACCTCTGGTTCTTGGGTACCCCACCTCTATTAGCAAGCTGGTTCCCCCAGCATGAATTATGAATGCATATCAACAGGCTCATCAGCGGAGATAAATCAGAGGCTTTCTCCTTTGCACATTTCTGCTTTTATTCCCATCGAAAGGTCTTTCTGCCCCATGCTAACACTGTCTTTCTGCAAACTTACTATCCCCATGTAAACTATGGAGATATATTCTCAATTGGAAAAATCAGGTAATTCCCTCCCCCCTCACCTCCAAGAAAGCCTTTCAAGTTAAGGATACAAAATATTTCATGGTTAGTTGTATGAGCTTCCAAATTAGCTGCATATAAAGTATTTTAAGATTTTTTTTTTTTTTGGCTGTCACTGGCTGGCAATACTCATTTTGTGTGTGTGTATGTGTGTGTGTGTGTGTGTGTGTGTATGTGTGTTGGTTTGAAAAGCAGGAAGAAATGTAATGAATTGAGTGCTGTCAGAGATGTCTTCTGTTTGAACAGTCTGCGATGGGCTGAATGGCAGGGACTCCCTCATCCAGTGCAGGTGCAGTAGAGCTGGGGAAGGGGGGAGGGGGGGCTCCCTCTGTTCAGTCAAAAAGCACCATTCTCCACAATAGACCACACACTGACAGCCAGCGTGACATCAACTCACACTTTCATACTTTTCCCCCCATCCTTAGTTCTGAGTTCACAAAGTGGCTACACAGTAGCCTTGGTTAGGCTCCTTTAATGAACATTTTGTGGCTCCTATGACCAGCATTGAAATCCGCGGAGCCCTGGGAGGAACAAATAGATTTTTAATCGTGAGTTCCAAACCAGAATGTATAGCTATAGATATTAAAAATAAGCTGGTCTCTACATTCTCTCCCAATGCCAATGCCCACAGCAACGCCAGATGATCTGAAAACTCTGAGTTAAAAGTTCATCTAAGACTTCTCAGGTTCCAAGACACTGTTTTCTGTGTCCTGAGAGAGATCAAACAGGAAAGGAGAGAATGAGTAAATTTTATTTATTTATTTAAATGTAAGAGCACCTCTAGTATTTTATTATGCTTCACGAAGAGAGTTAATCCTACAAATGAATGAACATTAACCTTGTGGAGTGGAGTTCTGCTCCCTTTTGAATTGGTTTTACTGGGAAGAAGAGGGTTAGGAAGGAAAGGCAGCAACTGTTATAAAACTCTGAACAAAGATGCCACCACCCTTTGGCTGCCCCTCTGCTTGCAAGGAATGGACCTTCCAAGTGTTCTTTTTCCATTTGCTGAAGCCCAGGCCCTGGGCCTCAAGTTTTAGATGGAATTACTCAAGGAGGGCACACTACTAGACAAACTCTTCTAGTCAGGTCCTTCAGCCCCGAACCAGTCCCTGCTCCTCTCTGCCACCACCCACTTCGCCACTTCTTAGTCCCGGCTCTGAAGGTTTTAGCTGAAAGAGGGAGGAGCGAGGGAAAGGCCACGCAGGTGAGGACAGCTCCCTCAATGCCCCACCGCGCCTGGAGAGACCCCGCCACCCTGTCGCTGGCTGACTCGGTCCCCTGTGCCTTGGCTTGCTGAAGCACTCGCCCAGTAAAATTCCTCACTGCCTGCTTACGTGTGTGCATTTTGAAAACACATGCACATATCCATGCTTCGTCACTCAGCAAACAAAATATCAACATTCTGACTGCAGGAGCAAAACGTTTCAGCCATTTGCCAGAATAGTGTTCAGTAGGTGGGGGCGGGGATATACGGGCCTCCTAGGACAGCGGTCACCACACCCCTCCCTCCCGCATGGCACCAGGAATGCGGGGCCTAGCGGCGCGGGGCGCAGGGCTGGAAGATGTGATGTGCAGGGTAAGTAAGGGGCAAGTTCTTTAAAACCTCAAATAACACAGGAAAAGATGCTCAGAGTGCTGTGGAGCCCTTCGCTAACCTGTGACTACCACGAGTCGCCGGGTGGCCCGCGTTAGCGTATGCCCACGGCGCCTACTAAAGTCTAGGCCTAGAAGAGGCGTCTCCCGCCCCTCGACCCACAGCCAGCCGCCACTTGATAGCTAACGCGTCTTCCGGCCGGTACACACCCACAATTAATCTTTCTTATTAAAGCCTCCATTCTGTACCCATGGGGCGACTCCAACCTATTTAGATTTCCTTGGTTGGCTGCACAAATTTAAGTGGGCAACGAGTTATAAACCTAATAACAGAGGACGACAGAGGGTGATTTGAGTAGAGAAGACGCGAGATGCACTAGGGTCGTGAAGATGCTGCGGGCCTTGCCCACCGCGGCGCCTACCTGGGGGTGCACGCCAGGCTCCAGGAAAGGTGGTGAGCCTCACACTCACACCCCACCCTCGACACTCGCGCACACACCTGCATCCCTAGCCCCTGAGCTCACAGACACACCTGCGTGGAAATGGCCTCCTCCGGAGTTCTTAGAAACCCCTCCCAGTCAGGCACAATTCTCAGAGCATCGGAACCAGGGAACTCGCAGGGAACCAGGGAGGCTTTGTACTGTTTGGGATTAATTGAGAATAATTAACACTGGAGACCGTTAATCACCACTTTGCGGCTCTTTCCCTCCTTTCGGGTCTGCGGCGTCTGCCTTTTTCGCTCCCGCTGCCGGCGCTGGGATGCGGGTGAAAGTGAAGACGTCGCGGTAGCTGTCACCCAGTTCGGCTGTACTTTTTTAAACGCTCGCATATTGTTTGATTACTAATTCGAGTTAATATGATCTTTATGGCAACATAACAGTGGATAATTGGCCTTTTTTTCTGAACAACAATGTAAATCACAATCGCTTTATTATTTAATAACGTCAAACGCTTCGTTGGATTGGCCCCGACCGAGAAGACCTTTTCTTTCTAGACAGTGTTGTGGAGGAAGAACAATGAAGATCTAATTGTCGAGATTTCATAAGTTGGCTCCCGTAAATGAACAGCTTAGATATGGAAGTTCCAGCAGATGTGGGTACTATTCGCCTCTACGAGCTCTACCCCCACCCCCATATATGCAGTCTAAACACTCTATTGGAGGGTTGTTTTTTTTTTTTTTTTTTTTTTTTTTGTGGTGGTGGTGGTCCTCAGATCCTAGCAACCACCTAAAGTTTCCAATAGTAATTAGAGCTTTTATCGGGCTTGCTCTTTAGCCCTTTATATTGCCGATTTAGCGTTAAGGCATTAAGTCCACACACCAAATTAGCGCGACTCCAAATAGCCACAACCACTTACTCGCCCCTCCCTCATTTTGGTGGTTGGACACTAAGAGCACAGGCCTGAGGCTTTCTTTCTTTCTTTGTCTTATTTTGTTTTGATTTGATTTTAAAAACGGATTCACTATCGCACTGTCTGGGAATATACTTGTTTCCGGCAGAGTTTTGCCATTCTTTTGCAAACGCCTGGAAGAGCACACGAAACTCAGAGAACTACAATGCGGACGACAACGCTTGGAAGGAATGGGTCCCCGCTGCTCCAATGAAAGATTAATTACATTTGCCCCAAAAGCCTCAGTTCTAACGGTCTATCGCGGCGTTTGCAGTCACTGGAGGACCGCTGTCTCTGGGGTCTTCAGACAGCCGAGTCCTTTGCAGACGAAGAGCCCCCACCATTTGGAATTCGGGTCAAGGAGGAAGACTCTGAGCCTGCAGCAGTTTTGGTTTTTGCGTGTGCCCGCCTCTCCATTTTATTCAACTTCTGCCTGTCGGGAGGCCGAACAATCGCTCCCCACCCACCCCCTCTCCGCCCCGTTTCTAAGATAAACAGGAGGTGCAAAATGCGTTGCCTGCACACGCGCCCTCGTGGGCCAGTCTTCCTGAAGCCCCCAGCGCACGGGCCATGCAGCTGTCCCCCAACCAGACCTGGGAGAAGACATCTCCCTTCTCTCTTCCCACCTGCGTTTAAAAACCATCACATTGGCTGTTTCACTAGAGTCATGTTCACATTTTCGGCCCTCCACGCCACCTTCCAGTTTCTTCCCGGTCCACTCTCTGTCTTTCTCAGGACCTAAAAAATGTAGGAAGAGGCCAAAGAATTGGAGAAAGCAGAGGATTTTCAAAATGTATCCCCCCGCCCCCTCCCACCACAAGGAGTGCATTTGGGAAACTTTCCCTAACAGGAGTTGGGCGCAGTGTTATTCTTCTCCATGGGTCTGTGGCCTCCCCGCCCCGCTGGACAATGCGTGCTTTGAGGCTCTGTGGCCTGCAGGCAGCGGGAGACGAGGGGACTGGGCAGCCTTCCTCCAAGGGGCCCGCAGCTGGGGGAGCGCCAGGCAGGGAGCAGGGACAGGGAGGCGAGCCACGCAGGAAGGAAAGCCATGAAAGTGCCATTTTTCCCTCAGTCCTGCACAGAGGCAGGCTTTGAGGACGCAGGGGCAGGGCAGCTGGGGGGGGGGAAATTGGGGTATGGGGGGGTTGAGAGGCTTTGCGTGTTCTTTACCCCCCTGCCCCAACTGGAACGTTTTATGTCCGCATATAATTTTGCTCACTAGGTTCTCCAACCTCCTCGCCCTCAATTCTGGTCTTTGGTTAATAATATCACACCCGCGGCTGGAAAGCTCCGGACCCCCCCCCCACCACCACCACCAGGCCCCAGCAGCGCCCCAGGAAAGGCCCGTGGGCCAGGAACTCTGGGACGTCACTTTCTAGTTGGTTTTGTCGGTTTCTTGTCTTTCTCCCCAAAAAGACCCCCACCCCCTCCTCCTCTCCTAGCAGCATCTAGGAGAGGACCCCTGAGCTCAGCAGCGGCCCTTAGACGGTTCCCGTCTCGGTGGAAGCGTTTGTCTGATGTTTGGAAACGTATACAAACGGGGCGTCAGGGCCACGTGCTGTGCCTTCGAAACGCAGCCGCGGGCCCTGCGTTTCAGAGCCGCGGACGCCGGGGCCGGCGAGAAGCACCAGGTCTGGCCACGGCGCTGAGCGGAGCGGATTATCTGGAGCGCGTTTGATCTGGGACTGCGTAGTCAGCTCCTGCTTTATTTGTTTGTTTGTAATCTCATATTTAGCCAGCCGGGACGGTGGCAGCGAGGGAGAAAGGACGGGATGGAGGAGGGGGCTTCGCGGTGGCCACACCCCTTCCTAATGACTTAATTTCCATATTTGCGCCTCCCGCATCGTGCGCCCTTTTTTTTTTTCTTTCTTTCTTTCTTTCCTTTTTTTTTTTTTTTTTTTTTTTATCCTGACGCCACTGTGCTGTTGCGTCTTGCACAGCGCAGACACCTCCACTCCGGATCCAAACGGAAACGCTCGCGCTGAGAGCAGAACATCGGTCTGCTGCGTTCTCTCCGAGCGACGATCTGGGCATCCCCGGCGGCCGGTTCCTCCCCCCGCCCCGCCCCCTCCGGAGGGTCCCGCGCGGATGGCGCGGGGCGTGCGGGCGCCCGGCAGCCGCGGACAGAGGCCCAGCTCCGGATTATTCTCCCTCCCCTCGAGGTGAGGGCGGTGAGAGCAGGGAGGGCAAGGTGCCCACCAGAGGGGGGAAAATAATCGCAAACGCACGAACCAAAAGTGAAAGTTCCAAACTGGATACCAGCCCCGGGGACGAAAAGTGCGGTCTCGAACTCCAGGGAGGGCGCTGAGCTCCGTGTGGGCGCGTAAGAGCGGGAAGGAGGGAAACTGAGGGTCGCTTAAAAGTTGCAGGGAAAAAGTTTGGGGAGAGCCCTCCCTGGAGATTCAAGGCGCGTCTCAGCTGATCTAATCCGGTTTCCTACCCGTTTTTGCGGTGATTCTGCTGTGGAAATGGGTGAAAGAGGCCGACCTTTGCAGTTGCTCACGCCCCTTGCCCCTCATCCCCCCAACCTTCTTACTTCGCGAAACGCATTAGGATGTGGGGCTCTGGCCCGAACTCCAAAATTGCTTGCTTGTCAATGGCGAGCTGCAGCAATATCAAAGTGAACTGTCCCAAGTCACTCTTGTCTCGAAGCTGGGGAGAGCTTAAGCAGCTCGCTTTAATGATGATTTGTAGCTCGGAGAGGGCTCGACAGCAAACAGCCCGCAGGTGTGTGCCGGAACACCGCCATCCCGACTTGAATGTAGATTACTCTGGCCAGCGTTTGATCGGCCCTTTGAAACCCTTTACAATTGCCTGTGACGAACGGCCAGTCTCAGTTTTTCTCTGAATAATCCCTGAGGGTAAGTCCCCCGGGCTTTTAAAGAGCTCCAGTATTTTTATTTTTCAAGAATAAAAAGAAAAACGTTCGACTTTAGTTTAGACATCTTCAACTTTTGGCCGCTAACAGGCATCACTCAAGCCAGTCGATACTTAATGACCGTTAGTTACTCTTGCTGTCTTCCTAGAACATCATATACACATGTGTGTATAGTATATGTATGCGTGTTTGCACGTACCTACCTACATACGTTGTGTTACTAAAAAGGAGAACAATGTTATTAATTTCGTTTTATTTTCAAACCTCCTTGCTTGTTTATAGAGGTTTGCGTGGGTCTTTATTATAAACATGCATTATTATTATTAACGCCATTGTTAATCTTGTCTTAATGGCTTCTCTCTTCTCTCTGAATTATATCTATTCAGTGGGAGTTACCTTGAAGGTTAAAGCTTTGCAGAGTAAAACCAGAGTTTAACTCCCCTCAACACCTTCACACCAATCCCCGTCACCAAAACGAAAATGTAGTGCTGTCCAACCTTTAATATTTACTTAGAGTGTTTACATAAGGGGAGGGAAATGAACTTTTGTCTGAAACATACAACAAGCGGCACTTTGATTTCATAAAATAAATGTCAACAATTGCCAGGGCTTATCAAACTGGGGTGAGGGGTGGGATTGGAAGTGCAGTTGGCTTAAAGGCCCATTCCTGCCACTTCAGACTACAAAGGGTTACACATAAATAAGTGCCGAACTTG